AATTAATATAATTTTTCAAACGTCTAGTGACGTTATTATAAAAATTTAAAAAAAAACTTTAAAAAATCATAAAAAATAGAGAAAAATGTTTCAATTTATTCTGACAGCAAATTTGAGCTTAGATTAGTCTAGTCTATCCATTAAAACGAAGAAATATAAATTACCAAATTCGAAATCTAAAATTACCAAAATAGGGAAAATTGGAAAAAAGGTACCAAAGTTGCGTAAACAAAAATGATCAGCGAGTCGAGAAACGTATTTTAAACAAGACGTGGAATGAGAAATTTTTCAAAAAAAAATGCTATATTTACGAATGACGAAAAGTTATATATATAGAAATGACAAGCGCATTCCATTCCATGCATTCCACACATTCCTGACATTCCTAGCATTCCTGAGGGCGGGTTAGGGTTAGGGTGACTTTTTTGCGCCATGTACAACTTTAAAAGTCCGGTTTTTTCTAAAAATCGGCATCTTGGAGTTAGGAAATCGATCGCTTTTCCAGTTTTGGACCGACCTCTGGCACTAAAAAACCATCTCCAACACCACCTTGGACACAAGTTAGATCAAATACACCAATAATACTTATAACATTAATATAACGACAGTACATTCATAATACTACAACAATAGTACAACCACAATAATACAATAACAATAGTACAAACAATATTAGGACAATAATACCACAACAATACTACAACAGTTGTACAACAAGGACTGAATTTAAGATATTTCAATCACTGCATATAGTTTCCACTTTTCCCATCTATTCAACATATATTTAAAAAACTACTTACTCGTGCAACATACATGAAAATTGTACTAACAGTCTTCTTGCCAATTCGAAATACACTCCATCACTGTCAAAATGCGTGCCGCACAGATATACAAATTACAACTATAGTCTTACAATATTATTACAATATTATATCACAATAGTACAACAACAACTAAATTTACAATATCTCACTACTTTCCTCATCTGCTCAAGATATATTTCAAATCTACTTATGTCCAACCATGCATATCAAATTCATTTGCATCATCAAATCACACATTAATTGCCAACTACGCCTGTCAAAAATGCAGCCAAAAGCGCCAATTACAAGTGTCCACTATTTTTCTAATTACCCAGCGGAAAAAAATGTAAGACTGGTAACTAATTCTAATTTTGAAAATCGCGCTTTTCCTCTTGCTCCTGGTACTTTGTACGATGTGTAAGAATATATAGGTATATACGAGTGTGGAAGAGGACATTCTGTCTATTATTTTTATCCCAATTATTGCCATGGTTACTTTATTATTATTCTAGTTTCCTGGGTCTTCTTGTTGGGAACGCTTCATTGTTGGGAGCGTATGCGACAGCAAAGGTTAAGCTTTATAGCCATAGATAACAAGACGAAACAGGGTAGAACAACGGCTAACAACTTAAAAAGATTGGATAAGAGATGAACCTTTTCATTTTTTTGGTTGTTTATTTAGTACAAAATTTTAACAAATCGATGCCTCTAGGTATAGTCAAATCATAGTATTTATTCATATATTTTCAGCATTATCGATCGGCTCAGCTGCTAGGTTAATGTTTACTTAACCACTTGGACAGTGAGTCAAAGATCCCTTTGTTCAATGTATTTATTTATGTTTATTGTTTACTGCATGAATAATCTTTCAAAACCATTTTTCTTATTAATACCCAACATTTTCACCTTGACAAGTAAAGACAGTAAATTTGTCTCACAATTCAATATTTCATTGTTTCACCTAATGGACCATTCATTTAATATACACACACTCCTATGGATGAGCTTTTCTGAGGGGTCGCCTAAATTTTAACGAAATTTGCCAGAGTAACCTGTAAATACATCACATAACACATACTTTTTGCTCTTGGCATCCCAGCTCACAATTCATTAGTGTAAGGCTCCCAGGTCAAATGATGTCATTATTGAAAGGATGTATCATCAAAATTTTTGATAAAAATGTATCCGAAGGGTTGTCTAAATTAGGAAATAATTCTGAATAGCATGCTATTGGGGATGAGGTTTTCTGAGGAATTGCCTGAATTCTAACCAAATTCTCAAGGGTAACCTGTAAATACACCCTTTCGATATTTACGTCACACGTACTTTTTGCTCTTGGAGCCCTGGATCTCGATTTATGAGTGCAAGGCTCCCAGGCCAAATGATGCAATTATTCAAAGGGTGTATTATTAAAATTTTGGATAAAAATTTATCCAAGGGGTTGTCTAATATATGAAATAATTCTAAACAGCATGCTATTTGGATGACGTTTTTTGAGGGATCCCTGAATTCTTAAGGTTTGTGCACCAGGACTACAAATTTATGGTGATTTGTGCAAATGACAGGGAGACGGAGTGATGGGGTTGCGGATTGGGTTTATAATTATGGTACAATATCTATAATTATTGTTTATAATTATTGCTTCTTTTTGCAGGAATATACCCGGGAATGCAAGAATGATTTGGCTGTTCAGATATCAAACTACAATCATCAAATAATGCAATGTCTGCATTTTATATTTCTTAGTGTGAGAAATATTAATAGAATATACACATGCCAATATCAATAGAATATACACATGGTACTGATCTACTTTGAGTGTGTTCACACCGGGCAAGCAGATGAGTTTGCTTGACAGAGGTGAGAATCGAACCCGCGACCTTTGGTTTACTAGTCTAATGCTCTACCAACTAGGCCATACATGCATGGGGTCAAGTCGGTAAGAAAACCAAAAGTCGTGGGTTCCATTCCCACTGCGATGAAGCAAGAGGAGCATCATAAACAAACAGTGGTCTACATATTTATCTATATCCCACTAACAATGAATAAAATAATTCAAAAAAGAAACTGTGTCCAATGTGTGCAATAAGGGTCTAGTTTTTACAAATTAATACATTCAAACATATTCCCAGCCATGTTGTTGTCATGACATTCAGTATCTCTTAGCACTGTTGCAACATGTGACATAATTATGGCTGTCAGCAGCTGGTATGCTATAAATCATATCTGGCAAATGTTTTTGTCATCAGAAATGAAATCAATATTGCAGGTGAGAAAAAAAAACATTTCCCAATTCATTCAATATTGTACAATGCTGTTTTATAGTTTTATAGATGTTCTATCGAATTTCAAGGCTCTTGTAGCAGAGACTTGAATTTGGGCTAGCCTGAAGTTCGCATTTCCAGAATCTACGATGCATAATCTTTCTGTCGATGCCTCATTCGTGCATCACTAGGCCGGATCTGGAGAAAAAACTCACTTTCTTTCCAGCTGTGTAATCGAAAATTACGATAAAGTTGGATTTTATAAGTGAGGGTCAGGGTTTAGGCTGTCTCGAATGTGATGTTCTATTGAATTTCAAGGCCCTTGTAGCGAAAACGTGAATTTGTCACGGTCTTAAAATTGTATTTTTATAATCTACGGTCCATAATCTTTGCATCGATGCCTTACTCGTGTATCAAAAGACAGTTTATGGAAAACAAAGCAGGTTATTCCAGGTCCATAATCGAAAAACACGTGAAAGTTGATATTATGCGGTTTCCAACATGATGTTCTATCGAATTTCAAGGCTCTTGTAGAAGAGACTCGAATTTGGGCTAGCCTGAAGGTTGTATTTCTGGAATCTACGATGCATAATTTTCTGGCCATGCCTCATTGGTGCACAACTAGGCCGGATCTGGAGAAAAAAAGCAGTTTCTTTCCAGCTGTGTAATCAAAAAAGACGATAAAGTTAGAATTTTATAAGTGAGGGTTAGGGTTTGGGCTGTCTCGAATGTGATGTTCTATTGAATTTCAAGGTCCCTGTAGCCAGAAGTGAATTTGACACGGTCTTAAAATTGTATTTTTAGAATCTACGGTACATAAGCTTTCTATCAATGCCTTACTCGTGTATCAAAAGACAGGTTATGAAGAAACAAAGCAGCTTATTCCAGGTCCATAATCGTAAAACACGTGAAAGTTAATATTATCCGGTTTCCAACCTGATGTTCTATCGAATTTCAAGGCTCTTGTAGCGGAGACTTGAATTTGGGCTAGCCTGAAGTTTGTATTCCTAGAAGCTATGATGCATAAGCTTTCTGTTGATGCCTCATTCGTGCATCACTAGGCCGCATCTGGAGAAAAAAAGCAGTTTCTTTCCAGCTGTGTGATCGAAAAAGACGATAAAGTTAGAATTTTATAAGTGAGGGTTACGGTTTGGGCTGTCTCGAATGTGATGTTCTATTGAATTTCAAGGTCCCTGTAGCAAAGACGTGAATTTGGCACGGTCTTAAAATTGTATTTTTAGAATCTGCGGTACATAAGCTTTCTATCGATGCGTTACTCGTGTGCCAAAAGACAGTTTATGAAGAAATAAAGCAGGTTATTCCAGGTCCGACTTTTCTCGTTGCCGAGATATCGACGCTAACTTAAAAAGGGCGTGGTCTAAATTTTCGAGGACGTCATTTTCTGAATCAGAAATTTTTAACTTAACTACCCAGAATTTGTTAAGTAGATATTAAGTTGTAGCCCTCATCAAGACGAACAACTTTCGTTAATATCTTCTTAACAAAATATGCAAGTGTAAGGTGTTACGCTACTGGGTATTCGTAGACCTTCTTGTTTCCAGCTGTTGCTTTGGTCCTGAGCTATGGTTGGGTGAAAGTTTCGAGAAAAGGGTGAAATCCCAAAAAATCTCGAGAAAGTCATTTTCTGAATCACAATTTTACGCTGATTCGAGTGGTGATAGTCTCGTCGCAAGCCGTTGCTTTGGTCCCGAGCTATGGCTGGGTGAAAATTTGGCAATGTTGAGAAATTCATTTTCTGAATCAGAATGTTTTAACTTAAATACGCGTAATTTGTTAAGAGGATATTAAGCAAAGTTGTCGCACTCATCAAGACGAACAACTTTTGTTAATATCTTCTCAACAAAATATGCAAGCGTAAGGTGTTACGTTCTGCGCATGCGCACAGCTATTTCCTTAAATACGCGTAATTTGTTAAGAGGATATTAAGAAAAGTTGTAGCCCTTATCAAGGCGAACAACTTTTGTTAATATCTTCTCAACAAAATATGTAAGGGTAAGGTGTTACGTTCTGCGCATGCGCACAGCTATCTCCTTAAATATGCATAATTTGTTAAGAGGATATTAAGCAAAGTTCTAGCCCTCATGAAGACGAACAACTTTCGTTTATATCTATTTCCTTAAATCTTCTTAACAAAATATGCAAGCGTAAGGTGTTGCGCTACTGGGTATTCGTAGACCTTGTTTCCAGCTGTTGCTTTGGTCCCGAGCTATGGTTTGGTGAAAGTTTCGAGAAAAGGGTGAAATCCCAAAAAATCTCGAGAAAGTCATTTTCTGAATCAGAATTTTACGCTGATTCGAGTGGCGATAGTCTCCTCGCAAGCCGTTGCTTTGGTGCCGAGCTATAACTGGGTGAAAATTTGGCGAGAAGGGTGAAATACCAAAAAATGTTGAGAAAGTTATTTTCTGAATCAGAATTTTTTAACTTAAATACGCATCTTTTGTTGAAAGGATATTAAGCAAAGTTGTAGCCCTCATCAAGACGAACAACATTCGTTAATATCTTCTTAACAAAATATGCAAGCGTTAGGTTTTACGTTCTGCGCATGCGCGGACCTTCTCCTTCCCAGCCGGCATTTCGGTCTGGAGCTCTATCTGGCTGAAACTTTGGC